ATAAATCCTTGTGACAGTCATCCTTGTCATAATGGTGGAACTTGTTGTCCTACATCTGGAATGGAGTATTACTGTGACTGTCCTAAAGGTTTCGAAGGTGATAAATGTCAAACAGGTGTGTAAATATTATAATCATTGGAAATCACAAATAATTTTCTTAAAATTTTACAATAAACTGTGTCTTCTAATGAGTTGGCAAAGAATTTTTGAACGATGGCTTTTTCAAAGGGTTGACAATGATCTAAAACTATGAGACTTGCCTTAGTTTTATTGTGAGTTTTGTCATATATTTTTCATTAGAATTAAATTCTTGTCATTTTTTTTCATTAGAATTAAATCCTTGTGACAGTCATCCTTGTCATAATGGTGGAACTTGTTGTCCTACATCTGGAATGGAGTATTACTGTGACTGTCCTAAAGGTTTCGAAGGTGATAAATGTCAAACAGGTGTGTAAATATTATAATCATTGGAAATCACAAATAATTTTCTTAAAATTTTACAATAAACTGTGTCTTCTAATGAGTTGGCAAAGAATTTTTGAACGATGGCTTTTTCAAAGAGTTGACAATGATCTAAAACTATGAGACTTGCCTTAGTTTTTTTGTGAGTTTTGTCATATATTTTTCATTAGAATTAAATCCTTGTCATTTTTTTTCATTAGAATTAAATCCTTGTGACAGTCATCCTTGTCATAATGGTGGAACTTGTTGTCCTACATCTGGAATGGAGTATTACTGTGACTGTCCTAAAGGTTTCGAAGGTGATAAATGTCAAACAGGTGTGTAAATATTATAATCATTGGAAATCACAAATAATTTTCTTAAAATTTTACAATAAACTGTGTCTTCTAATGAGTTGGCAAAGAATTTTTGAACGATGGCTTTTTCAAAGAGTTGACAATGATCTAAAACTATGAGACTTGCCTTAGTTTTATTGTGAGTTTTGTCATATATTTTTCATTAGAATTAAATCCTTGTCATTTTTTTTCATTAGAATTAAATCCTTGTGACAGTCATCCTTGTCATAATGGTGGAACTTGTTGTCCTACATCTGGAATGGAGTATTACTGTGACTGTCCTAAAGGTTTCGAAGGTGATAAATGTCAAACAGGTGTGTAAATATTATAATCATGGAAATCACAAATAATTTCTAAAATT